AGCATTCTGGCGTTTTTGGAGGTGTGGCTCGAGCAGTAGTGTCCGCCATGTGAAAAAGCTGAATGGGAGCATAGGGCCCTGAGTTCAAAGCCGCAGTACCAGCAAGGTTTCACAGCAGTCGCCAAATTCAGCAGATTACAGAAGTACATTTCTTCCCTTCAACAGGGAGAGGTGCTACTGGCTATTACCATTTGATGAAGTACTAACCAACCAAGCAGCGACACTTCTCCTATTCGTTCATTTTTTCCTTTCTTTCCTTCCTTTCTTTTTCTTTCTCTTTCCTTCCTTTCTTCCTTTTTTCTTTTTTCTTTTTTGTGCTGGTGCTGGGTTTGGGGTTTGAACACAAGAGTCTAGGCCATGATCCTGAGCTTTAGGTGTTTTTTTGTTTTGTTTTTTTTTCTGTCAGTCATGGGGCTTGAACTCGGCCTGAGCACTGTCCCTCAGCTCTTCAGCTCAAAGCAAGCGCGCTCTACCACTTGAGCCACAGCGCCACTTCCGGTTTTCTAGTGGTTTATTGGAGATAGGAGTCTCACGGTCTTTCCTGCCTGAGCTGGCTTTGAAGCGCGATCCTCAGATCTCAGCCTCCTGAGTAGCTAGGATTACAGGCTGAGCCACCTGTGCCTGGCTCTGAGCTTTAGCTTTTTTGTCCTTTCCCTTTCCTTCCTCCCCTCCCCTCTCCTCCCTTTCTTCCCTTCTTCTCTTCCCTCCCTCCCTCCCTCCCTCCCTTCCATGTTGGTGCTGGGTTTGGGGGTTGAGCCCAAGGAGCCTGACCCTGAGCTTTTTTACTCAAGGCTAGTGTTCTACCACTTGAGCCACAACTCCACTTCCAGCTTTTTGGCAGTTAATTGGAGATGAGAGTCTCACAGACTTTCCTGCCTACGATGGGTTTGACCTGTGATCTTTAAATCTCAGCCTCCTGAGTTGCAAGGATTACAGGTGTGAACCACCAGCACCCGGATCCTTTTCCAAAAGGTGCCAAGTATAATCACACCTGAGCCGAAATTACATGTCAGTGCATGGAATAAGACTAAGAAGATATACACAAAAAGACTGTGTTAGCTCTCCACTGCTGTGCTAACTACCTGGATGAGGGCATGTTGATCTTGCTCGTGTTTGTGGAGGTTCCACATCATGAGTGGTTGGCTCCATTGCTTTTGCACCTATGGCAAGGCAGCACAGTATGGCAGGATGCTTGTGGCTAAACAAAGCCACTCATTTGATGCCTGGGAATGAAGGAGATTTTAAGCAAATGGCCCTGGTTCCATGATCCACTGGCCAGGGCACATCCCCAGGGACTGGAGGGCCTACCACTAGGCCCTGCCTCAAAGCTTCTACCACCTTCTTGTAATGCCTCGGGAAGACCCTTCAGAGCCAAGCTATCAGACTTTCTGCTTTTATTTCCCATCTGTTCAGTTCAGAATTATGTAACTAGGAAAAGAAAAAAAGTAAGTTGCTGGGCACTGGTGGCTCATGCCTGTCCTTCTGAGGACAGCCTTGTGTAGTCAGCCCAGTCAGGAAAATCCATGAGACTCTTATCTAGAAAAAAAGCCAGAATGGAGATGTGGCTTAAGTGGGAAAGTGTCAGTTTTGAATAAAAATGCTAAAGGACAATGCCCAGACCCTGAGTTCAAGCCTCTATACTATTTCACGTGTGCATGCATGCAGTTGTACACACACACGCTTGCACACACACACACACATACACACAGAGTCATTTAAATCACTAAAATATGAAGTACATTAAGAAATCTGAATTGAGAGCCAGAGCCACATAAACTGATGTGATGGTTTCAGCCTGTAATCGCAGCTCTTGGAAGGCTCAGGCAAGAGGATCATAAATCTAAGGCCAGCCTGGATTACATAAAAAAGCCTGGTCTCAAGAACACTTATACATAGATTACAAAGGTAAAGTTCTCTCCTCTTCACAACAAATAAACACATACCTTTTAAGTTTTCCAGTTACAAGCCAGAGGAGATTGTTTTCTCTGTTGTGTTTCTTATAGAGCCATAGGAACAAGGCAGACCCCTCTGCATTAGAAATCTCTCTCTACCTGGGCAAGGTGACTATGACCAGATAATCCCACCATGCCTATAATCCACCTACTGGAGAGGCTAAAGTCAGGAGGCTTGTGGTTCACGGACAACCTGTATAAAAAGTTAATGGGACCCCATTTCAACCAATAAAAATCTTGCCAATATATTTGTAACCCCAGCCACGTGAAAAGCACAAATAGCAGGACTGCAGTCCAGGCCATTCTAAACATATCACAAAATCTTATTCTAGAAATAACAAAAATACCCAAGGCCGGTGGCTCATGCCTATAATCATAGCTACTCAGGAGGCTGAAGTCTGAGGACTGTGGTTCAAAACCAACATGGGCAGGAAAGCCAGTGAGACTCTTATCTCCACGTACATACATGTGCATGCATACACACACAACACACAAATAAATCTGGGTGTGGTGCTGTGGCTCAAGTGGTAGAGCTCTAGCCTTGAACACAAAAGCTTAAGGACAGTGCCTAGGCCCAGAGGTCAAGCCCCAGGACCAGCCAAAAAATAAAAAACTTAAAAATAATAGCTATAGTTCAAATGGAGTGCAAGGCCCTGAGTTCAAACCCAAACAGCCAAAAAAGAAAAGCAATTTCCCTATCTGTAGTACATCTCTCTGCAGCTGGGCACACAGGAAAGGCAGTACCAGCCCTTGACTGACAAGAGCTGTTTCCAAAGCTCCATTTGATAAGATATTTTAAAATTATAAAATGACAAACCTGAGTTTGAGTTGTAAGATGAGGCAGCTGGAATAATTGGATGGCCTTTGTTGTCACTCCTGCTCAGTCGGTAAAATCTCAGATGTCAGGTCTCCAGGCTGCTTGTTCCCATGGCTTCCAGCAGGGGGCAGCAGGACACTGCAGGTGTCCTGTTCCATATACACGGCGATCCTTCTGGTGTCAGGGGTGAAATCTTCCCCCCCCACAACTTCCATCCATGTCAAGTAGAGATCAGAGCTCTTCATCTCAGAGTGACTGTGTGCTTACACAGTTGCCTGTGATGATGCACTCTGAAATTCAGGAAATCTATAAGAAAATGGGAGAGAAACCCGGTTTCCTCCAAGATTATTTCTCAGTTTAGTCTCCCAGCCACCATTTTATTATTTATTGTATACTTTGACTTACAACTGACTGTATTCAAAAAAGGACTTAAGGCATCATTCCCAAGTTACACAAGAGAAGGGAAACTCAGAAGGTGTTTTGCCCCAGGTGATTAGCTGCTTATTGAGAACGCTGTCTTAGTGATGGCCAGATGAAGGGGAATTCAATCAAAAAATGAGAACAGATCAGTTTGGAATGAAGGTTCAATAGGCTTAAAGTGATACCAGAAGCCAACTGATTGAAAGGGATTCTACACAAAAGAGCAGCGATCTGGAGCTGGCTTAATATCACACTGTCCTCAGTAGGTCTGGCACTTGAGCAATCCACTTCCTCTCTCTGAGAATCTACTTCCTCTGATAATATATAAGGGCCTGGGTTGGATGACCTCTGAGGTCCTCCATCTCTGATATGAGAACCTAAGGAGAATTCATGTTTCTGCAGGAAATCAAAACTGAAATGAGTTTTGTTCGGAAGAAGGTACCAGAAGGAAATGTTATTGACATACATGTGTAAACATCCATTCACTGCTTGATCCTGTTATTAGCACAAGTTGCTTCCAGTCTCTCAGCAATACTGGAGGACAGAAGGGTGCTTTACACACTTTCTACCCCTAGAATGTAAAGCAAAACCGAGGTGTTCCACAGGCACACTGTCCAGGCAGCTCATGGAGCCGTTAGATGCCCTGTCTGGAATATTGGATTAATTCGGATCCTGTCCCTGAGGAAGTGCACGGCTACATTGAGTCCATACTGGGGACTACTCAGAATCACTCAGAAAGGCACACACAGGACCGGGTGTGGTTGCTCATGAGAATAATCCCAGCTACTTGGCAGGTAGAGACTGGAAGGATCATGGTTTGTTAACCTTGGGGAAAAAAAACTAGCATGACAGGAGAGACTCCCTTCTTTTTTTGTGCCAGTCCAAGGACTTGAATTCTGGCCTGGGCACTGTCCCTGAGCTGCTTTTGCTCAAGGCTAGAGCTCTACCAATTGAGCCACAGCTCCATTTCCAGCTCTTTGCTAATTTCTTGGCTCTAAGAGACTCATGGATTTTTCTGCCCTGGCTGGCTTCGAACTGTGATCCTCAGATCTCAGCCTCTTAAGTAGCTAGGATTACAGGCATGAGCCCTGGTGCCTGGCTGAGAGAGACCCATTCTTAACCAATAAGCCAGACAGATTGGAGGATTATTGCCTAAGGCTCACCAAGGCCAAAATGTGTGAGATGCTATTAAAAAACAAAACCTGAAGCAAAAGTGGTAAGGTACCTACCTAACAAGTATGAGGCTCTGAGTTCAAATCCCAAAAGAGGTGGGGGGAGGGGGGAAGCAGCAATCTGTCAAGAGTACCAGGCCAACATGAATGCATTTCATTCCAATCTTTACTTTCAAGCCCAGACAGTCGTTCTCATTACAAAACTACTGAACAAACACAGGTAGAAGAAAAGCACTGACATTTGCAAAATGTGTTTTCAACAGACATCTCAATAATCCCATCACCAACATGCACGTGCAAGGTGCAGACGCCAGGCAGACAATTCTCGTAAACCAGAGCTACATCATAAATGCATGACCTTTTTTAAATTTTATATAAAATGATGAACGTGGAAAAGCCAGGCCGCACGCTGATTCTACAGTCTGTCCATTCCCAACAGTTTCCTCTGTCTGGCCAGGTGAGCAAGGCAGAGAGGCCTCACCGTCAGCAGCTCCTCCAGACACCAGTGGAGGTGGCCAAGAGGACCCAGGTCCCCTTGCTTTTCCTGGGGTTGGAGGGAGGCAGCCCCACGTGGATCTGGCCCTGCAGCCGGGTACCTCATCTGGGCAGCAGGCTCCTCACACAGGTTCGCCATCAGGGCCTCTCCGCACTTGCCTATCTAGGAAGCCATGATGAATGGAGCCGGTCCAAGCGCTTTGGTGGTTTGTCCTTAGTCCCCTCCAGCTCTCTAGAAGCGCAAGCCCTCAGTCCACTGTGCCATTGTAGGATTTGTTGAACTTGTTGAAGGTGAAGTCCACTGTGTGTGTGGAGATGGGCTTTCTGTACAGGGGATTCAAGGCCTGTGAGCAGAGGTAAGGGGACATGCATTAGTTCTGGCTTGGGAACCAGCAGGCTCAGGCTAACCCCCTTCCTCCTGACAGGAAGGCAGCAAGCAGCGCACTCAGCAGGAGGCCATGGTCTGGCTCCAGCACCAGGTCCACTTCTGACTTGGCTCTATATCCTTGGAGACCCCGTTGCCTTCTTTGAGCTTTCACTCTTCATTTATGGAATGAGGGTTGAGTCCGAGGTCTCTGAAGTCTGCAGCAACTAGAGCAGGCACTGGCGATGGCGGTGGCGCCTGTATTGTGCCCAGGCCTCGAAGAGCCTGAGGAGCCATGCTGACTGAGAACACTGATCAGACCAGACGAACCTGCACTGCTTGCCTGAGGGCCTGCTTGTCTCCCAGCTCCTCCAGACTTGCCAGAGTCTTGGCCCTCTACCAATCCTCACTGAACCTGGGACAGGGTGTGGGGCAGGGCTTGGGACGGGCCCGTGTATTCCAGGGCTGTACCATGCTTGCTGTTCAGCACTGGGCATGGACTTGTAGGTGTTGTTTGTTTGTTTGTCGTGTAATACTAGCTGGAACCCAGGGTCTTCCTTTCACACACTAGGCTCTATCACTGAACTAGACCCCCAGCTCTCTAAATTTTGTTTGATTTTGGAGGGGACAGAGTCTCACTAATAGCCCAAGCTAGCCTAGAATTTTCTTTTTGTGTGTGTGTGCTGGTACTGGGGCTTGAACTCAGGGCCTGGGCACTGTCCCTTAGCTTTTACACTGAGGGTTGACATTCTACCACTTGAGCCACAGCTTGGTCAATAAGAGACAAGAGTCTCATGTGCTTTTTCTATCCTGCATAGCTTTGAACCTCAATTCTCAGATATTAGCCTCCTGAGTAGTTAGGATTGTAAGCGTGAGCCACTGGCGCCCAACATGGGAATCTTCAATCCTCCTGCCATAGCCTTAATAGCTGGGATCACAGTATTCACTATGGCCTGATTGTTCGTGTGTGTGTGTGTGTGTGTGTGTGTGTGTGTGTGTGTGTGTGTGTGTGTGTGTGTGTGTGTGTGTGTGTGTGTGTGTGTGTGTGTGTGTGTGTGTGAATAGCTGGGATCACAGTATTCACTATGGCCTGATTGTTCGTGTGTGTGTGTGTGTGTGTGTGTGTGTGTATGTGTGTGTGTGTGAATAGCTGGTATCACAGTATTCACTATGGCTTGATGGTTCTTGGGTGTGTGTCTGTGTGTGCGCCTATCGAAGGCCTTGAACTCTGGGCCTGGACACTAAGCTTCTTTTGCTCAAGGCATCACTCTACCACTTGAGCGATAGCACGACTTGTGGCTTTTTCTGTGATTAATTGGAGATGAGTCTCACAGACTTTCCTGCCCGGGCTGGCTTTGAACTGTGATCTTTAGATCTCAGCCTCCTGAGTAGCTAGGATTATAGGCATGAGCCTCCAGGGCCCAGCAAGCTCTTGGCTTTTTAATGCCAAGGAAGCCAGCAGCCTCCATAGCTCACATACAATTGGGCCCAACTACATCTCTCCAGCATCGCCCACCAGCTTACCACTTCGTAGCGAGCCCTGGAGCTCTCACTCTGGAACTTGGCAAACTCTCTGCGGTCATGGATGGTGACAAGCAGCTTCCAGATGGCGAGGAGAGCAAGCCCTATCAGGAGGATGCTGCCCACCACAGCCAGCAGGATGGTGACGGTGTTGGGGGCTGAGCCACACTCTGGAGGGAATCCGGAGGCACAAAGGGTAATACAGCCACCAGCATTCTGCGCCCACCCCCAGTCTCAGACACACCTGACAGGTCACCTGTCCCAGACCCCTCCTACTCTCATCTCTTAGATCCCCTGTTGCCCCTGTGAGACCAGATGGGTGGGTGCAGGTTTCCCTGAGCTCAGACAACAAGAGATTCAAAGAGGCCTGCTAGCTATCACATATCCAGGTGATGGGAAGCCGGATAAAAGCCCTGGTAGACAGCTGTGTCCCCCCTAAGGGGGCAGCCCCCTTCCCCCAGCCTGGCCCAGCTCCATGCAGAGTGCTGGACTGTGGCTTAGCTTTCATGTTGATGGCTTCAGGGATTGACCAGGCAGACAGAAAGTAGCAGGGAAGACTTCTACAAGGACCGGCCATGTTGAGGCCCTTCCTGTGGAGCCTCCTGGAAGGAAGCCTTATTTTCAAACAACTGCAAAAGCAGTGTCTGATACAGAGCCTGGCTGCTCCAGGCCAGCATAGGAGCTTGGTACTGTACTTCCCTCTGTCTCCAGCCTACTGGAGGCACAATGGTCTGCCTCCATTTGGAGTCCAAGTCTACATGGTGATGAATTAGAGACAAAAACCTCTGTTCCCTAGCTGCCTCCAGAGAGGAAAAAAAGAAGTTGATCTAGAAATCCCAATTACTCTAAGGCAAAAGCTGTGGGTTCCTGGGCCCAGATCCTAGATGGTATCAGGCAGGAATGTAGTACCAAGTGTTCCAGCTGCGCTTAGACTGCCACCCCAGGAGGCCTTCAGGGAGGGCATGTGGACCCCGATGATCTTCAGCGTGAGCAACGCCCCAGCCCAGCTAAGTTCTATTTCCTCTAAAGTGACTCCTGAGGGCCAGACCCAGTCCTCCCCAGCCCCATCAACCCAGTCACCTCCCCGGCACTATACCCTAGCAGTCCATCTACCTCTTTTCTAAGTTTCAAGAGTGAAAGCGGTCGTGGCCTTAGGTCCTGATCATGAGGCACTGGGTCCCTGCTCTCTAGCATTTAGCTAAGAGGGTATCCAGGAGAGAATGGCAAAAACCAGAACCAAGAGCTGCACTGCACCCCCGGGGGCCCCCTTTACCTGGCTCTTTGAGGACAGTCAGGTTGGACTTCCCACTGGGCAGCTCGGCGTAGGTGAACATCATGACGCAATCCTTCGCAGTTTTGTAGAAGCACAGCACGGCCTCTTGGTCATCTTTCACTAGAAGAAGGGCAAGAAGAAATGTCCTGAGGGTCTCAGGGCAGCACCCAGGCTGCGGATGGTCAGGGCAAGCAATCCAGAGTCAGGGCGCATAGACAAAGCAGTGGCAGGGCTTTAAAGTAAGCTTGGGATTTTCCCAGGCCTAGGGCTGAGTTTATGACTCTAGGGACACATGAACCATATCAGAGGAGCTGAATTATTTGCTGGGGTGACACAAAATGATAAAAGCATGTGATGATTGTGGGCAGGGAGAGCACATGGAATTGGGAGGAAATGTAATGCATAGATAAGATCATCCTGGATGTGGCCCACCGCCATCAATGCCCACATGAGAGTCCACATTTGGGAACAGTGCATGGGGGTGGACTACAGAGGTCAGAGCAGCTCCTCCCTGCGATGTCAGAGCCTGAGCGTAAGGAGGATGTGAGCATGGCAGGCTGGTCCCACAATGGCAGCCACGCATTGAGATAAACTGAGCTGGGTTCCTTGCTCAGCCCTAGACACACAGGTGCCACTCTTGGATGCTAACAAGCCCCTGCCTCAGCCACTTCAGCTCCTTCCTGCCCCATACTGCCCTTAGCCCAAGAGAGCAGCATCAGCATCCAGGCTCCAGGTACTGTCTGCCATCCACAGCTTCTCCAGGACTGGGTTACAGAACTGATCCACAGGGGTGGGCACTGGTGGCTCACACCTATAATCCTAGCTACTCCGGAGGCTGACATCTGAGGATTGAGGTTCAAGGCCAATTTAGGCAGACAAATCTTATCTCCAATTAACCAGCAAAATGCAGGAAGTGGATGGAGGTGTGGCTCAAGTGGTAGAGTGCCAACCTTGAGCAAAAAAGCTAAAGAACAGGCCCTGAGTTCAGGCTCTAGTACCAGCGTGTGCGCGTGCGCATGCACACACACAAAGTTGATCCTTAGGAAGGAAAATAGCTAGAGGAAACAGGTGAACAGGCACCCAGAAGAAAAGAAAGTTACTATTATGTCACAAAGTACGTTTCCATTTTCCTTTTTTAATCTGGTCAAAGGAGTTTTAATCTGGAAGCAGATAATTGGTGTGATTATTAAACATGAAAGCCTGGACTTTTTCTCTAGGTAAGGGAGAGTGTATATTTTTTAAAGCCTAGGAGAAGGAAGGAAAAACATGGATGAGCTAGAGATAAATTTTCCCTACCGAGCACCCTCAGGCTGAAGTGGGAAGCAGGTGGGCATAGCCCAAGAGAATGGGGAAAGCAGCCTTCCTCTTCCCTGGCCACATGTACCCAATTAGAAGGCAACTAGCCCGGGTATGCAGGCAAACTTGATGTAAGCCAGGCCTATGGTAGCATAACGCAGCAAGGGCAGGCAGGTGGAGGGAGAGGGCATCACAAAGAGCTTGGCACATAGCTGCTGCCTGCTGAATACAGGTGGGATAAATAGGACTCAACATAGCCCCAAACCACACCACGATCTGCCCAAGAAGTCAGTCAAAACTAAGGAGGCGGGAACAAGGAATTCTACGCCAGAGGTAATAGTGGGACAAGACTGACGGGATCCAGGGTCAGGAGGTCAAGGCAGAGCACATACCTGTCAATGGGGAGCCTGATACACATTCCTTTCCAGATATGTGCGGCGTTTTATTCTCACCATTTTAACACTTCAATGTGAAGAGTCGGCTTAGTAAGTTTGCGACACAAAACTATTCCCACTGATTTCAGAACATGTGCATCACCCTCAAAACAAGTTCCTATTTGCTAGCAGTTGATCCCCTGGACCACCACTAGCCCCATCGGCTTTGTGGATGGTGGACATTTCACGTATGTAGACCTGGACAGTATGGGACAGCCTCTGCTCCTTTCTGTCCGGTTCCCTTCTCTTAGCGGGGTGCTTGGGGGGCTCACACAGGCTGGCACGCTGGCTAGGACCTTGCTCCTTCCTATAGCTCGGAAACATTCCATGCACAGGACGCGGCATTTGGTTCTCCGTTAAACCAGTGGGTGGATACCTGGCTATCATGACCCAATGGAGATAAACATTTTGTGTATGTGTTGGGACTGGGGCTTGAACTCACAGCCTTGCGCTCTTGCTTGGCTTTTTTTTTTTTTTTTGTCTCAAGGCTTGTGCTCTTGCGCCACAGTTCCTGAACCTTTGCGCAGACATACCAACCCAACCCTCTTGGGCATACGTGGGAAGGCTGTGTGGTGATTTTCTGTGTAACTTTTTGGAGGGGCTGCCAAGCTGATTTCTAGAACATGTTACCCCCCCCACCCCTTTAACATTGCCCGCCAGCAGTGTTTGCGGGGCTAGGCTGTTTCCCAACTCAGGGTTAACTCCACCCTGCTCCCCAGGAGAGACCTTTGGAAGTCTGCCGCGGTGCATGGGAGCAGACACTAGGACGGCTCTGGACACTCACCGATGGTGTCCGCCCAGGTGATCACCTCATCCTTGCACAGGTGGTGGCAGGACTGGTTGTCGGGTTTCCCCGGCCGAAGTAGCAGGCACTCCACACAATCTCTTTGGGAAAGAGGAAAGATACATGACTGTTACACACCACATAAGGTTCCATACATGCAACTGCATTCCCAGCATCGCAGGCCCGGAAGGCACAGCTGCTTCCTTCCCAATGCCAGGGACTCCGCTCTGCCTTCTTGATGCAGTGAGCCGGAAGCCCCTGGTTCTCAGAGGCCACATCTAATGTAAAGGTCAGCATGCGAGGTGTCAGCTTCTCACACTCCAGCATTAGGAACCCGATCAAGTCCATCTGCGTGAGGCTGCCTCAAACACCTGGCAGAGTTGCTGGCTCCAAGCACAAGGTTTCTGGGCATTGGAACTATTCCTGCTAACCCCCCCTCCCTTAGACTTGTGGGACCAGTGCCCCATGCCTCCACGCAGCTGCGGTTCTATAAACCCCATTCAAGCCAGCCTTGGGCAGGCCCCTGCAGCCTCCTGCACAGAACTTTCCAACAGGTTGGAGGGAAGGAAGGTGAACCCCACTGCCTGAGTCCATCCACACCCATAGGTCTGTGCCCCTGGGCCAGGGTTTCTATGACTCTGGTACACACAAGGACTGAGAACCACCATCCTGTGGACACTCCCCTACAGTGATTACTAGGGCTCCAGCCCCTTTCTCCATCCCAGACACAGCCCACCAGCTGGGTTCCCTACCACTCACCTGGCCTCGGCCCACACAAGGGTATGCGTGATGCTATTATAATAAGGGCTTTCTCTACAACGTCCATGAGGCCAAAAAGACACCGAATCTTTTTCCTCCTACCTCAGACTGACAGCTTAAACCAGATAATAAACAGTTCTTACTATATTGATACCAAACCTAGCCCCACACCTTCTCTCTCTCTCCCTCCGAGGTCAAGCAAGAACAGGATACAGGAGGCCTGAGTTGGCCTTGGTGTAGACTGGGGGCGGGGTGGGGGGTCACACACAGGATGGGGAGGGAAAGAAGGGTTCAGTCCAAAAATCCCAATGGGTACAGAGAACTTGAGGTTGTTCACAAGGAAGACTTGAGCCCCAGGAGGCTGTGTGAGGGCTCCAGATCCTGGGGTACTGGCAGGGCCACTGCTATCCTGTGGCTTCACGTGGTGGTAACCCCTCCTAACTTCAGCCACACAGGGGACAGCTTCCCCATTATCCCCATCCTGTAGGGACCAAAGGGACTGAGTGTCTGGAAAGCTGTCTAGCAAGCTAAGGAGAGATGTGTGTACAACATACATGGTTCCTTAATTCCTGGGGGTTGAGAGCTCAGTTCAGAGCTGTAAGGTGGAATATTCAAACCAGAAGGAGCTCAGAGATCATGCCAGTAGCTCCCCCTTGCTTTCCGGGGGATAGTGGCCCTGTGTCTGCCAGGCTAGACCTCTCTTCACCCCCCTCCCCCACACACACTTTCTGGTCACTAAGAAGGAAGAGGCAAAGAGAAATGCGACAAGACTTTCTTTTTTGTTTCCTTTGTTTTTGATGGGACTGGGTTTGAATTCAGGGCCTCGTGCATGAGGCTAGTGCTCTATCACTTGAGCCACAGCTCTACTTCTAGCCTTTTTGGTGCTCATTGGAGATAAGAATCTCATGGATTTTCCTACCCAGGCTGGCTTTGAACCTCCTGAGAAGCTAGGGTTACGGGCATGATCCATTGATGGCCAGCTTGGATAAGGCATTCTTCAGAGGGCACTGGAATGCTTAGGAATTCAACTCTCCCAGAACTCTCCCACAAAATCTGACCCCAGTTGGCCCAGCTTCATGGAAACATCTGAAAGCTTGCGTGTCTTCCCAACAATCCCAGCCCCAGATGACAGGCAGCTGAAGCGTGGCTGAGGGCCAGGAGGGGTGGCTCCAGTTCTGGTCAGGCATGCCGACCCTGGCCCCTCAACAGCTTTCTGGATAAACTCAGGACAAACAGTGTGGCTGATGTGGTGAAGGCTGGGGTCCTTGGGGCCCCATCTGGTACCCTGCTGCATTATCACAGCAGAAAGACACTTGCAGGAAATATGCTCTCCCCCCCCTCCAGGTCTCTACATAGATACAGCAAGTCTCATTCATTCTTGGTCCTTTAGACTTGGAACATTCTATAGTCATGTATTAAAGTAAGTCTAAAAAAAAACACACAAAAGGTTACCAAGAGAGACTTTGCTCAGAACCTGTTAAATGAACTCATCTCAGGCCAAGTGTGACTTCATCCAGAATGAAGGGTGTGGTGTTTTAGTTCTGGAAAATGGATGGACACTAGTAGCCTTGAGACCCCAGGGGAAAAGGATGTAGGAAATCCAAAACACTTGGTGTCTCTCAACAAGGCAGCAAGTGGAAAAATATCCTGACAGGATTAAAAAAAAAGAAGAGAAGAGAAGAGAGAGAGAGAGAGAGAGGGAGAGAGAGAGAGAGGGAGAGAGAGAGGGAGAGGGAGAGGGAGAGGGAGAGAGGGAGAGGGAGGAAGGGAGAGGGAGAGGGAGAAGGAGAGGGAAGGAGGGAGGGAGGGAGGGAGGGAGGGAGGGAAGGAAGGAAGGAAAGGAGGGAGGGAGGGAGGGAGGGAGGGAGGGAGGGAGGGAGGGAGGGAGGGAGGGAGGGAATGAAAGAAGGGTGAGCTTCCCCTAGGTTGTGAAAGAGGTGGGGGCCAGCGCAGCCCAGAGGCAGGTAAGAAGCAGCGAGAGCCGCCTCTCAGCCCTTTGGTATTTCATAGCAGGAGATAATTATCAGCTCTTGCTTCCAGGCAATAAATACTTCAGTCATTTGAAGCCAGGTTAGTTTCCCCTGAGGCCTTTCAACTGCCTGAGGCCAATCCTATATTGCCCGGGGATTCCACAGGAAGGCACACCTAGGCTTCAGCTCCAATTATTAAAGATTCTGTGTGTTGTCCTGGCTGGACCCCAGTCCTCTGGGGTCTCTGCCCCCCACCCCCCAAAGCAATTGTGCTGAGGGGAGGGGGCAGGGCTGGGGTAAGGGCTCCCTTGGACAAGAGCTGTGATTTTTGGCACAACTATTTGGGCTCTGGTTCCCGACAACCCCCTCCCCTCCCCCCACCCCTGGGGATGGGGGGGGGCTGTTTCTATTTGGGTCTTGGTTGTTTCTTTACTCTCAGCAGGTCCTAAGTGGATCTGCTGTCTTCCTTCCTCTCCCTCTTCTCCTCCAATTAAAACACAATAAAAACTGGCCCAGCTATCTGTCTTTCGATCACCAGCCAGCCACCATTTCCCACGCTTGGATTATCTGTGGCACACAGCCCATGGCCAATGTGTGCCATCCTGAGGCCGGACCCACCAGCAGCCACTGCCAGCCGGGAGCACAAATTCATTTCATTATGAGCTGGGGTCAGACAGTTGGAACGGAAATCAGCCGAAAGGAAACTGTACACAGAGCTCCCTGGCCCAACACAAAGGCAGAGTGTACTGCCAAATCCTTGGCACAGGTGACAACACAGCTGTAAGTTGCAATAAATGTCACCCTCAATGTCCACCGGCACCAGCGCCTGCTTCCTGCAATCCTGTCCCACGCACAGCAACGGTGTGAAGGGCAAAGCTAGTGCGGCGGGCAGCATGGCTGACAGACGGGGAGAGGCCAGTGATGGCCTTGTCACGTCTACACAATCTCTGCATTCAGTGACAGTGCAGAGCTGGCCTCTCTTATCAGCATAAATGGAGCAGAAAATTCAAATGTCACTGCACTTGCTTCAGGCATGCCTTATCTAGGTCAGGTGCCTTCCTAGCCCACATGCCTTCTGACCAGGTTTTGGTTAAAGTAACAATTCCCATATGTTATCCTTTTTTTCATGGGGTTTGAACTCTGGGCCTGGGCGCTGTCCCTCAGCTCTTCAGCTCAAGGTGAGCGCTCTACCCCTTGAGCCACAGTGCCACTTCCGGTTTTTTAGTGGTTTATTGGAGATAAGAGTCTCACGGACTTTCCTGCCTGGGCTGGCTTTGAACTGAGATCCTCAGATCTCAGCCTCCTCAGTAGCTAGGCGTACAGGCGTGAGCCACCGGCGCCCAGCTTATGTTATCCTTTTTATAAACCACTGTTGGGGAAATATTAATGGAAAGACTGAATTCATTTGCAAACAGATGCATGCAGTATTCCCTTTAGAAAACACACAATAGTGCACTTAATTGAATTTAACTTAATAATCCTGTCATTTCTAAACTTGCTTAGAATAAAATAGCTGTTTTCTCTTTGTACTGTTTTTAGTTTCCTTAAAATGCCCACAAACACTGGCGGCTCATGCCTATAATCCTAGCTACTCAGAAGGCTGAGATCTGAGAATCGAGATTCAAGTCTAGTCTGGGCAAGAAAGTCTGTGAGAGTCTTTGTTTCCAATTAACCACCAAAAAGCTGGAAAGTGGAGCTGTAGGGACAGCACCCAGGGGCTGAGTTCAAGCTCCAGTTCCAGGACAACAAAAGAAAGAACGAAAGAACGAAAGAAAGAAAGAAGGAAGGAAGGAAGGAAGGAAGGAAGGAAGGAAGGAAGGAAGGAAGGAAACAAGGAAGGAAGGAAGGAAGGAAGGAAGGAAGGAAGGAAGGAAGGAAGGAAGGAAGGAAGGAAGGAAGGAAGGAAGGAAGGAAGGAAGGAAGATGCCCACGCGAACAGTATTTTGAAGCCAGTGCTTTAGTGACTGTTAGTAAGTTTCTCTCCACACAGGCTGGGAGGGTGGGAGGCTGGGAGGTGGGAGGATGGCCAGCCCAAGTCTGCCTAGCTGGCAGACAAGCATGAGGGAGAGCAACCTACCTCTTTGTGCTGCAAGCATCCGGGCAGGTTGGGCACTTCTCACATGTTTCCCCAAAGGCTCCAGGCTCCGTGCACTGGCACTGCCCACAGATGCAATGCCCACGATCACTGCAGATCTGCCCATCCTTGGCCCGGCATGTGCTGATATCTGTTGAGCAGTTACAGTTGTCTCCAATGTAACCTGCATGGCACTTGCATTCTCCACAGTGACACTCGCCGTGGCCTAAAATGACACATGGGGCACATCAGGGCTGGCTGGTCTTTATGAATGAACATGTATCATCCAGTGCCCAGCGCGGCAGCATTGCAGATCCCACAGAGAATGAGGTACTGACTTTGCCCTCTGAGCAGAGACGTATGTAACACACATGGCCTGGCAGCATCTGGGCTATCTCCAAGTTGGTCCAGAACTTTGCCAAGTCATGACACAAGACCAGAAGTCATGAAAAGCTTCCTGACTCAGTTGTATGACTAATGTCATATACGCTTATGTCTACATTCTAATCTCCACAACTGAAAAATGGTACAATGCAAAACTGGAGATGAGAGGAAAGAAAGGGTTTTAGATGAGCAGGTTCCCCTGGATGGTCCAGGTGAGCCCTAAACTGGTCACAAGGTTCTTGGGGGGAGGGGCCGGGTTAAGGGAGGACCACAGGGGGTGGCTATGGGATTGTTTAAGATGGAGCACAGGGATCACAAGGAATGCAGCTTTAGAAGCTGGAAAGACAAGGAACATATTTGCCCCACAACCCTAGAGGGAGTGAGGCTGCCAGATACCCTGACTTCAGCCCAGGGAAAATGAATGCAGACTTCTGGCCTCCAGAGCTGCAGGAAAGCAAACATTAAATGTGTGACAATTTGTTTCAGGCACAACCAAACAGTAGCACAGCTGCTCTCCCTCAGTCCCAGGGACATGCTGACTTCTGCCTCTGGCCCTGGGAGCCCCCAGCCCCGAGGGAGGCTCTGTACATTGTCAGGTGAGGTGCGATGTACTTTAAACTGTTTGTTCTCACAGTAATCCATGAAGTGACTATTCTTAGTTCAGAGAGAGAGAGAGAGAGAGAGAGAGAGAGAGAGAGTCTATGTATGTGTGTGTACCCTGGTATGGAGACTTAAACTCAGGGCCTTATATTCTCAACATGGCCTTTCATTCACAGCTGGCACTCTACCACTTGACCCATTGCATGTCTAGCTTTTTTGCTTGTTAACTGGAGATAATGAGTCTCGTAGATTTTTCTGCCCAGGCTGGCTTTGAACCTTAATACATCCACTTGGCTTCCTGAGTAGCTCAGATTATGGGTGTGAGCCCCACCATGCCTGTTTTTTTTGTTGTTGTTGTTGGCCGTGGGGCTTGAACTCTGGGCTTGGGCGCTGTCCCTGCACTCTTCAGCTCAAGGCGAGAGCTCTACCTCTTGAGCCATAGTACCACTTCTGGTTTTCTGGTTGTTTATTGGAGATAGAGTCTCATGGACTTTCCTGCCTGGGCTGGCTTTGAACCATGATCCTCAGATCTCAGCCTCCTATGTAGCTAGGATTACAGGTGTGAGCCAATGGCGCCCAGCTAATGCCTGGTTTCTTATCCTCCATCTAATGAGAGATGAAACTGAGACACGGCAAGAAAAAGCAGTTTAGTGAAGGTCATATAGCTAGCTGCAGTATGCAAGCCCAGGGTCTGAACTCTAGACTCCATGTCTTCCAAAGAGCAGAGGCTAGCTTCTGGGAGAACCTGACATACACTGATGCAAGGTGGTACGAAGTCACGGCCTCAAAGTTCTGCTGGTGTCCACAGGAGGGGCATCAAGACTCAGAGGAGGGAGGGAGGGAGGGAGGGAGGGAGGGAGAGAGAGAGGGAGAGAGAGAGAGAGAGAGAGTGTGTGTGTGTGTGTGTGTGTGTGTGTGTGTGTGTGTCTGTAAGAAAAAGAGACAGAGAGACAGTCAGACATACAGACAGTGATTGCCTGTTAAGAGTGTGGAAAGGATGAACGCCACCACCTTCAAGGGCCAGGCAGATTGAGACAGGGTCTTTTTATGGAGCCCAGGCTGACTTGAACTTTCCTCCTGTGCTAGCCTCTGAAGTGCTGGGATTATAGACATGCACAACTATAACTGATTCAAATGTGAGTTAAAAAAAAATCTACCTTGTAGTTTTTTGGGTTTTTTTTTTTTTTTTTTGAGGCAAAAAAGAGTTTATGGGGGTGGAGCAACTGCCGGCGCACCTGAATGAGGTGCACGGAGAGAGAGGGGAAGGAAAACGGGAGAAAGAGGACAGACCTTTGTACTATTTCTGCAGTATGTCTTCCTTCCTAATGCCATTTTGCTTAGGCTGACATCATTCCTAAAACCTTCAGTCTGTGTTTACTGAGTTCCCACCTCTAAGCTAGCGGGAGTTGGGGTGGCCAGGCTGGGGAGATGTTTGGGGTCTCGGGAGTCCTTGTATTTTGTCTACATGCCTGCATCAGTTATCCTGGCATTGGATTCTGGCACCTGGATTCAGGAGAGTATGACTGTAATAGAGGTCAGGACCTAGCCCCAGAGTGCCTCTTCCTGGCCACCCAACTTCCTGGCCCCCCTTCCTCTGGCTCAGTATGCATAGTCCCCACCACTGAAGGGGACAGGGAGTTCATCTGGAGCAGGCCAGCCTTGCCCAGGTGGCTCTGAGCCACAGCACATTTCACAGACATTACAGAGGCACATGGCCAGGCTTCTGCCAGGGGTGGAATGCCAGGCAGGCAAGGAGGAGGAGGGGGGGGGAGGAGGAGGAGGAATGCAGTCTGTTCTGTGTAGGAGCCAATATGTGACGTGGATGCCACGGGAGAGCACAGTGTCCTGATGCCCAAGGTCACGGACTGAGGACTGCCTGCCGTCCCCACCCATGTGTGACCAGCCCCAGTTTGAGGCCTGAACAGCAGCAACCTTCCCAAGCACATCTTCATAGATGAAATGGGACACTGTGGCTCCAGGGACCACACTAGTTAGGAGCCTGGCTTAAATAAAAATGGTTCACTGTTTGGAGTAATTTCTTCCCCCTACCCAACATTTCATTATGGAAATTTCCCAACCTGCAGCAAAGTTCAAAGGACTGTGCAAGGTGGGCACTGGTGGCTCACACCTGTAATCCTAGCTCCTCAAGAGGCTGAGATCTGAGGATCACGGTTCAAAGCCAGCCCAGGCAGGAAAGTCCATGAGACTCTTATCTCCAATAAACCATTAGAAAACCAGAAGTGATGCTGTGTCTCAAGTGGTAGAGCTCTCGCCTTGAACTGAAGAATGCAGGGGCAGTGCCCAGGCCCAAAATTCAAGCCCCACGACCGACCAAAAAAAAAAGGATTGGGCAATAAGCTTCTATAGACTCACCCCTTAGGTTCTACCATGAGCATGCTACACATTGCCTTACCACAAAACCATCCATGCACCCATCCATCCACAAATTTATAATTTTTACAAAGTGCCCTTCAGCCGGGTGCCAATGGCTCATTCTACCTACTCAGGAGGCTGAGACCTGAGAATAATCACTCAAAGCCAGCCTGGGCAGGAAAGTCCTTGAGACTCTTATCTCCAATTAGCTACCAAAATGCAAAAGTGGAGCTGTGGTTCAAGTGGTAGAGCACTAGCCTTGAGGGGAAAAAAATCTCAAGGGCAGCGCTCAGACCCTGAATTCAAGCCCCAGGATTAATACACATATACATACATATACACATATGTATACACACACACACACACACAGTGAGAGAGAGTGAGTGAGAAAGAGAGAGAGAACAACTTTAACTGTGGTTTTCAGACTTCAGGGGCAGGTTTTTGTTATTGTTTTGTTTTTACTTTATGCCAGTACTGCTCATGCTGTCTTAGAACCACAATCCTCAGATCTTAGCCTCCTGAATAGCTCAGACCACAAGCCACTAGCACCTGGCTAAGGAGAAAATTTTGAATGTGGCTCTGGCACTCTCCAAAGACTTGTATTCTCATAATCCCATAAAGCAAAAGGAAAAGTATTACCCAGCCATGGAGAGAGTAGGAAGCGAGGCTAGAGAGGCCATCTCTCCTGAAACAAGTATAATTTATTTTCCACGTCTGTTTTGGCAGCAACAAATTATCACAAAGAAAAAAAATCTGTCACCATATTTCCAAGCGTCAAGGAACTGGAGAGCGCTGTATGTGTTGGAAAGAGATCACACTTCACCGCTGACTGGCCTTGCTCCTGGAAGGCTCTGCTAGCTGGAGAGGGCACAGACAGGAGAGGAGCCTGCGACTCCACTTCCCGCCATGCTGGCCGAGTGGGAATAAAGCCCCACGGTCATGGGTATGTCTATGGTCCTGCAGGGCTCGGAGCTCCCAAACCCAGCTCCAGGCCAGTATAGCTAAGTATACCCCAGATCCAGGGCTCAACAGAGACCATGGGATTCAAAAGTGGGGAAAGTAGGAGCTGATGGAAAGTATCAGGGTTTCTTGGAAAGAACAGCATGTACCGCCTGCAACCAAAGCTATTCCTGAAGACTTCCTACAACCCAAGTGCAGAGTGGACGAGACGGGACAACAGCGCATACAGAAGCTGTGCGGTGGGAAGCACAGAAACAGTGGCAACACGGGCCATCAGAAATCCTCATCAAAGCCAGGCGTCACAGTGCATGTCTGTACCCCAGCTCTTGGGAGGCAAAGATAGAAAGATCATGAACAAGGGGGGGGGGACACAGAGAGAGTGTTGGATTTTATTATTTTTAATTTGAGGCAGGGTCTTACTATATATCCCAGGCTGGTCTTGAACTCATGTCCCTCCTCCCTCAGCCTCCAGAATGCTAGGATTACAAGCCTATCCCATCATGTCTAGTAACACAGGGATTGTTGCTCTTTACAGCTCTAAATCTATCAGCATCAAGTAGCTCACTGCTTTTAGAGCTTAAGAGGACAGGACAGAGGAGTAGGAGGTGCCCAGCATGCACAAGGCTCTGGGTTCCATCCTTAGCAGTGGAAAAAAAAAAAAAAAAAAGGCTTAAAGCAGCTATGGCAGAGTTTTGACACACACCACCAAGTCCTTTGCACTCACAGCTGCCCTTGTCATCTGGACGGTGCTCAGAGCCCTCCTTAACACAGTACTCCAAATAGGTTCCACCAAATGATAGTAGCTGGCACATAAGACGGCCAAGGGCCATCTTGGTTTAAAGCTCCATACCGCCTTCAGAAAGTGTAAGCCACCCAGCATGTCAAAAAGGGGATGATGGAATGTATGCA